GCGTCTTCCAAACACATTTATATGTTGCAAAAAACATTTTGTAGTAGAAATATTACAATTCATTCCATAAAAATGTTTCATTTATTTAAATCAATAGCTGTCAAATGGAGTTTTTTGTTGCTTAGTATCACAAGGCATTTTATCATGATAATATGTTGATTTGTGTGGTTTTCCTGATTTCTTTCAAAACTTTATGGACCCTGTAAGTTTATATCTCTTTATAATTTGTCTATTATCATAAAATTATGCTGTGTTACGAAACAAATTTCCATTTGAACTAATACTCCATTTGAACTCACAATCAATTTTTTAACTCAAGATATTATACTTTTCTTATACCCCATAACCTCATCCACTTCTAAATGAAATTTTTTAATTATTTCCATAAAGTGTTTGTATACAATAAACTAGCTATTTTTTTGGGAAAAATGCAAAATGCTTCAGTAAATTTCCGAAAATTTTTGAGCTTATTAAAAATCAATAATTCTTAATCAATTAAAGTGCATAAATTAAATTTATGATATTCTTTCAAAATATAACAGTAAACATAACCTTTTATTTGATATATAATACATTGGATTTAGTGAAGTGCTGAAATACTAGTGAAACTCAATTTTATTTAGGTTGTCCACAAATTTTTGGATGCTACTGTATAATTTATTTTGTAGTTCTTTAATTGTGTTTAGCTTCATATTTGGTAAAAGCCAATATATATAAAATGGACTTTTTATTAAGGTTTACAACAATTTTATTAAATATAAAGTTAGTATGGATGCCAAAATATTCAAAAAATACTATGCAAAGAACAAACAAAGAAGAATATATATTGAAAAAAAATCAATTCATCTAGATAACGCTAGAATTCCAGAAGATTGAAAACTTCAAGTTTTATTTGTTCTATGCAGATTAAAAGCTTTCACAAGCATGGATAACAAATATCAAAAACGATAACAAATACAAATACATCAATAACAAATATTAAAAATGATCAGCAGCTATCATGATACACCAAATACTTCTTTCTTTTAAGTAACAAAAGAAAATGTGCAACAGAAGCCCTAACAGCAGTTCAACATAGTATCATCTTCTATTTGACAACTACTCCTCGAAGCTACTGAATACAGTCTAGAGGTACTTTATAAAACAGCATATATAGAATTGGCTGCCAAAGATTCTCTGAATTTGGAAACATCCATGATAGCTAACATCATGCTATCAACTTTTGCAGCAAGTCATAGCCTTACTAAATCATTGTTTTTGTTGTGGCAATGATAAAATCCAAAAATCTAATGTCAAAAAGGTATAATTGGCAAAAAACTCAACATCAAAAGTTAAAGAAAGTTTCCAAGATTTACTGTTATTAAGCATAAAATGCATCACTTATGCATTAATACCTGGAGTTGATATTTACAAAAATAAACCAGTCAATACAATATAACAACCAGTTCCCAAAAATAACTCCATTATAACAGACAAGATAAACTGTATGCTACAACAAGAAATAATTTAAGCCATTGTACATTCTGTATGCAATGTTTTGTAGTATCAACAGGAAACAAAATCTGTCTTATGATCAATAATTAAAATACCATTAATCTGCACACTCCACTTGATTCATACCAAACACCCTGAAACGATAACTTAAATAAAGTTTTCAGCACAACTGACCACAAATTGGCGTATTATCAGGTGAAAATACAACCAGAAGATTACAGCATCTGAAGCTAATGACAGATTATACGAGTTCAAACATTTACCTTTTGGTTGTTCAAATACTAACTTTTCAGCAGGTTATGGATGAATTTGTTCAATTGGAAAAAAAATACTTGATAATATAACTATCAGTGGAAAAAGTTGCCTAAGAGCACAATTAAATTTTCAGATGCTTTCTCAACAAAGCTAATATCTCTAACATAGAAATAAACAAAGAAAAAAGCAAATTTTAAAAACTTACATCGAATTTTTAGGCCATGTAGTTGAAAAAAGAACCTTGAGACCCGACCTAAAAAGATACAAAGCCCTTATGAATATGCCAGACCCAATAACCTTAAAGAACTAAATTGAATGATAGGTTTGTTTATCTATTACACTAAATGGGTACAAAACTGTACCGAGTTGACTCTAGCATTTACTTAAGCAAGGGAAAGTTTTCAAACAAGAAACCTAAACCCATTAAAAAGTTCAAAATTAAACTTGTAGAAGCTTGCCTAGCCTCCCCCAACTTCAAAGTTCAACTAACTATTGAAACAGATGTCTCTGACATAGCATTGGGAGGAACATTACTACAACTTGGCAGACCAGTGGTCTTTTTCTTAAGAACACAACAAATGCTGAGCAAAAGCATCCAATAGTTGAGAAAAAGAAGCAACTGCCATAGTAGAATGCTATAGAAGATGGAAACACTTAATTAATTCAGTACCATATATTTATATAGTTACAGACCAAAGATCTATTTTTTATATTTTTAATAAACAGAGATCAAAAAAATTCAAAAATGAAAAACTTGCTGGCATTTAGAATTAGCAGACATTAATTATACAACTTTATACAAACCAGGAAACCAAAATACCGTAGCCGATGCCATCTCTAAATGTTGCTCAACTTAAAATACCACTAAAATATTTTACAATATTTATTCCCAACTATGCCATCCGGGAGTTAAAAGAATGGTACATTATTTAACAAAGATCTTGCCCCACTAAAAAAAGTAAATTCACTAACAGAATCAATCCAATAACAATCCGACAACTCGAACATTGATGAATTTGTTATTAGCAACATCTACAATTCTGGAAATAGAAACCAAGACAAATTAAACAAAACCAATGAAATAGCTTCAAACCCACATTATTTTATTGGAAATTCAATAATGGATAGCATTTTATATAACCAATCACCTCCAACAACAATACCTAGCCAACCTTCTATACAAAAAGAATTACATTTTAAATTTAATGCCAGCGCATAAAAAAGTGCTAATTGGATGGTCAATTTTAGTCTGGCGTGCGCGATTTTAAAAACTCATCATTTCTTTGATCTAATTTAAATAAAAACAACAAAAAGAATGCAAAAAGAATAAAATAAAAACAGCAAAAAGAATCAAATATTAGATGAAATATTAAAAAAAAACTTTCAAAACAAACGTTTTATTTGAATTCTACATAAAACAAATAAAAATAGCAATAAAATAAAAAATGTCTTAAAAGAATTAAACAAAATAGGGTAAAAAGGGAAAGACAATTATTTTATTTAAATTCTAAATGAAATAATTAAAACAAAAACAGCAAAAAAAAAAAAAAAAAAAAAAAACGCTTTATATAAATATTAAACAAAATAATTATTATTAAAAAGGAAATGCAAATGCTTTATTTAAATTCTAAATAAAATAATTAAAACAAAAATATGAAAACTGACATCTTATTTGAGTTCTATTAAAACAAAAACATAAAAACGGATATCTTATTTGAGTTCTAAATTAAAATAATTAAAATAGAAATGACAAAAAAAATAGAAAATAAAATGAAAAAAATTCATACATAAGAGTGTTTTCATAATTTTTCATAAAAGTATTTGATAAACTTTGATTAGTTGCAATCAAAGCTATTTTTTCGGCAAGCACTTTTTTATGCGCAACCAAAGTTTTTGTAGGCGTGTGAATTATTTATGAAAAGGTTTGTGCGCAAAAGTGCTAGGTAAACAAAGAAGACTGAGAAAGTTACCTGACGTACAGTCTAATAAACCCTCAAGAACAAAATGTTTAAAAGGCTAAAGTATCTCAATGATTAGTTTTTCTCATAGATTATTATCCAAAGTTAAGTAATTACACTATTTCTTAAAACTTTCTTGAAACAGAGAAAACTTATAACTTAACTCAAGTTTTAAACTCAGTAATAGACGCCACTTCCCACTATTTAAAATAATATTTTTTGTTTGAACTGGAAATATTTAATTATATATAATTAATACGCTGATACAATCCATTTTTAGTTCATTAATTATGCTTAACTTCATATTTGATAAAAGCCAAAATAAATAAAAATTTTTAATAAAGGTTTACAACAAAAATAATTATAAATAAGAATAGAAATTATAAACATCTCTATATTTATATCTATAAAAATCTCTTTTTTTTGAATGTTTGCTGTGTTTGCTAATAAACTACATCTTTCTAATTAGAAAGTTTAGTTTTCATGAAATATAGTAATCATTATCATTGTTGGATGAACAACAATATTTATTAAAACTTATTAAATCTAAATACAGAAATATTATGGATACATAAAAAAGATCTGTTTGATTTTTATTTGCAAATTATGTTTGAATTATGAAGTCTATTATAAAGGCAAAAACTTATTTATAAAGTTAAAAACAAAAGCTTTTATAGAACACAAGATTTTTTGTTTTTTCTTTTTTTAATATTAGTAAGAATAAATAATTTTTTTAAACCATTCTTTATAAAAACAAAAAAAACAAAAAAAACATGTTTTGCATGGTTCAGTAAATCATTACACATTTTACAAATACTTAATTCATTATTTTTCTAATCTATTATTTAATTTATTTAAAACTTCACATAGCAATTTTTCTTACTGAATACATTAGTAGTTTTTGGCATTGTTATTTTTAAAAGTCTATTCAGTATTTATAACTGATGTCATAGTACATTTATAACTCATGTCAAAATATATTATAACTCAAAATCAAAAGTCTATTTAATATTTATAACTTACGCCTTAATACATTTTGGGAATACAAGAGGTTCAAATTTGTTAATGTCATGTGGTTTAATTAATCAAATACTGTTAATTAAATTAATCTATACTTATAAAAAATATGTAAATTATTGGTTGCTGAAAATTGTTTATAAATTTATTTTTTCATATATTAAGTCGCATTTGCTTTAATACTTTTAATTTGTAAAAACATTCGAAAAACTTATTCTAAAAACTATTTAAAATAATAAATTTAAACATTAGCATATATTATTTAAATTTAATTACCAAAAGAGTAACCATCAGCCAGCATCTTTGCACGCTCTTGCTTACTATATGTATGTAAACTCTTCTCTATTTTGACCTCTTGTTCAACATTTTCATTTTGACATTTGTTGTATTCTGTTTCTTGTATTGCAGTAAAACTGGACGCTTCACATTTTTCATGACAATTAATGCTGTTAAGTGAAGCTGAAAGACATTGCTGAACTTTACTTAATTGTTGCAAAGTTCCCATAATTATATCTGGAGACATGTTTAAATCAGCAGTTTGTAAAGAAATGTCAGTCATTTTTTATATGTGAGATCTAAATACATAATTTTGATATATATATATATATATTATATATATATATATATATATATATATATATATATATATATATATATATATATATATATATATATATACTAAAGTTATAACAAAGTTTCTTTAACAACTCTAAATAAACACGAGAATGACACTATAAAAACTGTCAAATGAAGGAATGAATGCATAAAAGACTTAAATAATTTTTAACATATATTTTAAGCAATGACAGAAAATTGGCAGCAATAACAAATCAAAAAAAGAAGCATACAAAGAAAAATAATGTCCTTTATAATACTTGTTTAATATTTCTTTATTAGGACATAAACTGATTTTCAGGTTGTTTTTTTTATTGTTAAAAATATTTATAAACTTATATGAAACTTTTAGATGGCCAGAAAATCATAAGTATTATGTACTTTAATTGCATTTTTAAAATAACACCTTTTAGTTTTTTTGAAAACTTTTAACAAGTGGCTAACCACGCCCAGGAACAGAAGGTTAACTTTTAAACATCTTAACAGTATATCTTTCATTTAGAATATCTTTATCAAGTTTGCATGAACCAGACTATCTTACATTGTTGTCAAAATGGTTAAAACAGGTTAACTACAGTAATCTTAAAACCTCTTGGTATATCTAAGTAGCATGTGGGTAAGCTGACAACTTTATAACACTCTTTCAATATTTAAAAATAGAACTACTTAAACTTTGTTTTTACAAATCAAACTGTCCATTCAAACATAATATTTTTACGTGGAGGATATTGATTTCCCCTAATATTGTAATGTGCTTAGAATCATTTAAGACTATATAAGCAACAGCTAATTAACCCAAAACAAATAAACTAAAGTATTGATACAATAAAATCGTCGTACAAATCATCCTATGCGCACTTTGAACTTTGTACATAGGATTTCTATGACACCAAAATAAATATTAAAATGAATAAAACGGTTGTTTTGCGACTTGTACCCGATTCCAATTCATGCTTCGGAAATCCTATATTTTCTGTATAGGTTTGCTAAACATCCTTTGCAAACGTACGAAATATTCGGACATTTGTTGTTGAATTTAAATAAATCCCGATTAATCACGACTTTGTAGAAGAAATAGCCGAAATAAAAGTTATTTATTATTAATTTAGGTTAGAATACTCCTCCACTCTAGTTAATTAAGTATTCAGTTCTTTTTCTTAGAGATTTTTTTTAACAAAAAAAAAAAAAAAAAAAATTATATATTATATAATATCCTTCATTAATTAAATAAATACAAAAATATATTATACAATGTAGTTCTATTTTTATTATTACGAGCTTTTTGTTCTATTAATAAACCTTCTTTTGATGGAATTAATTTAGTTAATTTGAAACTGATAAACAAGGATGCAGTACAACGAAAACTGATTTAAAGATGATTACTGGACCGGATATTTTTAGGGCACGGTCAGAAAGGCATAGAATGTGTATGGAATTTTTTTTATTAATTTTTGAACTTTAAAACGAAATAGGCATGTTTATTTATATATGTAGAAGCGTAGTATGGTAACTTTAACTTTCATAAAAAATTTTACTCTGAAAAAATTCGTTAATGTTTTTATGAGTTATTAAAAATTAGAAACTAAGTTTTAATAAAAAGTTTATAAATTATATAGGGAAGAAAATAACGACATAAATAAAAAGAGAGAGGGGGGAGGGAGGGAAATAGCGACATAAATAAAAAGAAGAGAGATGCAGCCTTCTTACCCTCTGTTTTATTTCCTCTATTAAAGATTTGTAACTATAGATATATTATTCGTTTTTTCAAAAAGCTTTCAAAACGTTGTTTATAATAAAATGTATATCTATTTTATTCAAAATACTTTTTAACCCCAAACATTTCTTCTTATGTTTTATTTATAAAAATAATTTTGATAAAGTTCGTTTGTGTTTGCAAATAATCTTGTGTTTTATCTATAAAAATAATTTTGATAAAATTCATTTATGTTTGTAAATAATCATAAATTCTATCAATTCAATATTTAACAATGTTGATATTTAATAGTGACAATGATCAGTTATGTAAGTAAAAGAAAAAAAGTCCTATATAAATATATAAATGTAGGAACTTTTTATTGATAAAAACTTTAGCTTACCCATCTAAAATATAAATATATTGAATTAAAAATATAACAAATAATGAATTAGATTATTATATTAATTTATAACTATTTAGTTAATTATAGCATAATTAACTTCTTCAAACTACCTACTTCAAATAACTACTTCATTTGGTCATTTTTTGACATTTTTTTTAGCCAAGTTAAACGTCAACAAATGTCGTGTTTGATACAAATTTTACTTTACTAAAATCATCCTTAGCCCTATTTTCGAGAACTAGCGTATGTGAAAAATTAGCGAATGTGACACAAATATAAGTATACAGTTAACGAATACTGTTGCTAGTGACAAAAACTGACTTTAAATAACCATTACATTGAAACACTTTAATTCATTTTTATGAACAGTATCATCACATCCCTTATTTATTAAAAGGAGACCTCATACTTTAAAAAACAGTGTTTCGTTAAGTAAAATAATATTCCTGTCATCAGATATTATTTGACTTGCGTTAAAAAGGAAAGCTTGCGTCAAATTTTGAGACACCTTAGGAAATCATTCCAAATAGCAACAGAATTTATTATTAAAAATACTTGTTGAAATGATAAAAATTGAATTATACACTGTGAGCTCGAAGATTGGTTTACTATCAATAATCGGGACTTTTTTATTCGGGAATTATTTTTTATTCGTTTGTACTGATTATACTTATTATTTACTAAACGCTAGTAATAATTTCATCTTTGTACTTATTCTAGTATTTTTTATATGTTAGTGTTTGAAACCAGTTGAACTCCAAATAGAGCGTCATAATCAGAGACCACGGTCGAGAGTAAGTGTTTTAAAAGAACGAAGATGTAAAGTGTGAAAAATAATAAGTAAACTATTAAAAAAAAGCTCAAAAAGCAGACTAACTGTAAGTCAAAAGTAAATTTATAAAAGGTTATTTAGATTTATAAAATGTTAAAAATTTTATGAAAAAATAGTTATTTATACGTAAAATAATTATTTAAAATTATGTAAAATTTTTAAAATATGCGGTCGATCAGCATATCTTAAAAATACGTTCTGCTACACTCGATACTAGAAATTCTAATACACTTGATGCTGGAATTTTAAGAAGTTGTTTTGCAACTCTAATTTTTTTTAAAATGGAAACATGACTTCTTTTTTTGTCTACCAAATCAATGGGTTTTTATTTATTGATATCCTTTCATGTTTTTTAAAATTTGAAATTTCACCTTCAATCAAATTTACAGATTACAGTTTTTTTTTTGCTTTTTTTAAACAAGTTTTCTCTCGACAAGCCTGCAAGCCATTTCTAATTAAGTTTACTGAAAGCATGCAAAAGAGTTTAAGACCTAGATATCGGTCGGAAGAAAACTTTGATGCTAAAAAAAAGAGAGAGAATTCCAAAACATTAATATGCAAAAAAAATCTGATTAAAAACTAGATTAACAAAAAATTTAGAGTTTAAATGGACAGAGTTAAGAGTTTAAAGTTTAAAGGTCCTACATTTAACAATAACATTTTAGACTTTGTCTATATTATTTAAAGATTCATCCCAAATATACCAACAGTATTCCAAACAGAAACAAATAAAAAACTTGTTTACACAGATTATGGAACCAGGAGTAAAGCAAATAGCAAGCACAAAAGAGAAAATCTTGCTAGATGCTAACTTTTCCGTGAACTGTATTTTTAAATTCCCCTAGAGATTAATTGTAAATGATTATCAGAGAAGACGTAAAGCTGATGACTCAGTTAAAACCTTGCCATTCATCAATTTAAGAACATCACCAATATTGAGATTTTTATTAGCAGTAAATAGATGAGTTTTGTTTGGCAATAAACTTATGGCATGCTTCATTACAGAAGTTAGACCATATGGAATAACATTTCTCAACATCATGATTCATAAATCTAGCTTGCCAATTTATGTTATTTATAAAAGTGTTTATTTCATCATATTTACCATATTTATAAAGGAATTTTTTGCTATTAAAACTATTTTGATTACTACTGCTTAAATTGTGCTGCCAGCTAAGAGATATATGCCCTTGAGAGACTGTATCAAGACAAGGTCCTGTTAAAACTTTGTTGATTCTATCTTTTGATTCTGATATAATTAGATCAAGTGTGTTGCTAAGATTTTATAAAAGTTTTTATATCAGTTGGACATTTGACATGCAGGTAGAGGTGGTTGTCACAGAGAGCGTCATTGAACCTGTATTCAAGACTATTTTCATCGTCAGATGTGATACTCCAGTCAGATTGCCAAGTTATGCCTGGAAAGTTAAAGTCTCCTAACACAATTAAGCCATTATATTCTTTTGTATCAACTAAGTATCTAGCGTAACCAAGAGCACAAATTGTTTCATTTATTTGCACTGAAGCAGTTGGTGAGTTCCTCTCAGGGCGATAAATACAACTTACTAGAAATTTTTCTTATGGTAACTTTATTTCAACCCAAAACTGTTCAGATTCTTTGCATTTAAAGTTTATATTTAGCTGCGAATTGTCTAGTTCACATGCCATTATATCATTTTGAACATAAATTGCTACACCACCTCCGTAACTAATTCTATCTTTCCTAAATAGCATATAGTTATTGATTGATGGAGCAGAAGTAGAATTGAACCAAGCTTCAGTTATAAAAATTAGATCATATTTGTTTTGTTCAGCTAATAATTGGAGTACAGTAATTATGTCTTTATTGAGTAAAGTTGCATTGTGTAAAAGCAATGGAGAGATTTTGATTTGTTCTGACAAAGATTGCTTTTGTTTGGGGCCGACGTATGTGCTGATTGATTAGCTAATTGTTCAGACTGGAATGACATATAATAGTCGTGCAACTGCGCAAGCTTCTTTCCAGTCACCAAACGGGTTTTTCTCAGTA